CTGGTCAATAACAAATTCCATAGAGTGATACTTAAAACATGTTTGGTACAAAAGAAAAAAGGTAAGAAGTAGGGTTGAAATAGTGAAAATGAGAGATTGTTTGGTTGATAGATTTTCACCTTTTTTATTTATTTATTTCTCCCTATATACAAGGGGGTTATAATTATACTGGTGTAACTTTTATTAAGTGTTGCACCGCTCAATAACTTTATATTAATTATAAATTTTGTAAATCTAAACGTTAGATTGAAAGTTCATATCAAAGAGTTCATATTCTAGTGTATTTTTAAATGAATATATTACGTCAATTTTGTTTTATAAAAATTAAGTATCAAATCATCTTGGATTAATATAAAATTTTTTATATATGATCTAAGATATATGAACTTTCAATCTAACGGTCGAATTTACAAAATTCGCATTTAATATAAAGTTATTAAGCAGTCTAACACTTAGTAAAAGTTACACCGATGTTATTATAATCTCCCTATATATATATATATTATATATATATTTCTCACATATTTCTCTTCAACTAAACAATCAAATTTCTATTTTATTTCTTATCTATTTGTCTTTATCTTTTATTTCTCTTCACTTTATTACTCATATTTTTTTTCCTCTCTAACAAATACAAGCTTAAACATATCTACCATCAATGCTATGAGAAACTAATTAATATATCTTAAATGTTAAAAAAATTCAACGGTTTTATTTTTCTCTTTTCTCTATCTTATTTTCTAGAGTTTTCCTTGCCCACTCTTCCCTCTCACAATCATCTTTTTATTACAAGATCTTATTTTCCAATGTCTTAGACACCTCCCAAGTCCCAAACCCCCATTCCCACAAAACCTTGCATTAATTGTCGTTTCTTTTTTATTTTTACCTAACATAATGATCACTACTATATATGAATCCCACAATTTGAGGGGACGAAGAATGATGGAACAAAAGGCCTTCATCGAAGCAATCTTGAGATTCTTGGTTATAACTAGGATTAATTATATAACTAGTTATAGCTAAAATATTGGTTTCGAAAATTTAAAATAGTTTTTAACCTTAATTTTATACTTAATAAACTTTTACAACTAATTTTTACTTGTGTTGCATTTAATTAAACCTAATTTTAAAGGTTACAACTTTTTCTTTCTTTCTAAGTTGGTTTTGCTTGTAACCAGTTATATATTGAATTTTGAATATATAACTAGGTTATATAACTTTTTTTAATTATAAAAAAATTGTTTATAATTTTGTTATAATATTCGCTTATATGGGTGACAAAACGGGTCAGGCTGACCCATTTTGACCCGGTCTGTCAATGACCTGCCCAAAACAGGACGGGTCAAGTTAACCCACCAATAAAAATGGGTTGAGAACGTTGGCTCGCCTCGCCTAAGGACGGGCTAGCAAGTCAACGGGTTAGCCCGCATACCACAAAAAAATTTGCAAAAGAAATGGAAAAAATATATATTTTATGTTTAAATAAAAAAAATGCTGCAAATAAATAAATATAACCATATGAAATTAAAAATACATACATATTGTACATAATATATGTTTAACAAAAGCAAATTACAAACTTAAAATAAAATCAAATAGAAATTAGTCCAGTTACACCAAAATTAAAACCAAATTATAAACTTACAAATTACTAATAATCTAAATTTTTTGATAGTCCACAAAACAAGAACATTAGAAACTCCCTTGGAAGAAGTTGTCTCTACTTTTTTGTCTTGATCATTTTCATCCTTATGCGGGTTGGCGGGTTGTGATGAGTCAGTCTGTCATTCGACCCAACGGGTTGACAGGTTGAAATGATAGGCCCGACTTGCCAATTTTTTGCGAGCCAACGGACCGGCCCGCGGGTCACAGCCCATTTTGCCATCTCTATTCACTTATCATTCATGGTTAATTTATAACCAATTTTTTTATTAAGCTAATATTATTAACATGAATTAAATATGTTCTATTTTCTAAATTTTTGTAATTTTTTAGTCTTTAGTTTCTAGGATTCTTTTTCATGAACAATTTTTTTTTATGTCAGGGACCAAAATGTTAGCTGCGAAAAAAATTAAGAGCTAAAAGAGAAATTCGACAAAAATTTTGGGGTAAACTAAAATTAATAAAATAATGTTTAGAGACTAAAAACAACCATTGACAAAAATTTAAATACTAAAAATATCTTTAATTATATAAACATAATTAATTTGTTAAAATGACACAATATACTATTATAAATAGTACTTACAATTAATCAAATACACTCTTAGAATAGTGAATTAAGTCTAACTCAACTCTACAAAACCTGCTGTGGGACTTGGGTTTTTTCCAATACACCCCCTCACGTCTAGCACTATAGGGTTTGGTACGTGGATGGTAGGTGACCCTTTTTTAATGATCTAGGATTGACGGGACTTGAATACACTCCTTTATACCTATGGTGCATGTATCAATGAATGGTAGGTGACCCTTTTTGGCGGGACTTGAATACACCCCCTCATGTTCATGATGCATGTATCAATGGTGGGTGACCCATTTTTAAGAATTTAGGATAGCTTTGATACCATCTTAGAATAGTAAATTTAAGCCTAACTCAACCATACAAAACTGGCTTGTAAAGTGAGAGTTATTTTCCACTTATATACTATTTAATTGCCTAATCTCTAGTTAATGTGAGACTTGAATTTTTTCCAATATCCACTAAACGTCAATACTTACAAACGATTAACAAAAAGGATGATAAAAAAACACTTAAAACAAAGTTACTATATTGAACAATTTTTTCTCTTACTTTATACCTTATTTCACCAATTCAATCATTAAAAATCATAAGTTAAGTTTGTTGAAGCTTTTACGATCTAATAGTTAATGAATCTCAATTCACGATTCGACAATTGCTACTTGGTAAATATTAGAGCTGTCAAAATGGGCTCAGCCCGGTGAGCCAACCCGGCCCACCACGGGTTCGAGCCGGGTTGGGCTAAAAAAAATTTGCAAATTTCAGTGTGGGCCAATTTTAAACCCGGCCCACTAACAACCCGGCTCACCCGGGTTCAACCCGTGGTGAGCCGGGCTGACCCACCAGCCCATAAAAAAAAAAAAAAAAAACTTCTGCTATTGGGTTGGGCCAAATAAAACTTCATAGACCATCATAGGTTCTCAATTTTATGTATTTTTTCTTCAAATTATGTAATTAGTGTAGGAATTTATTTACTTTTCTCTAGAAAAGCTTATGTGCATACTATTTTTGCAGGATTGGGCATTAAATTTGATTACATTTTTTTAAATTAGGTGATTTTTTCAAATTAGGTGAGCCAACCCGTTTAGCCCACCAACCCGTGGTGGGCCGGGCCGGGCTCAATTTGTTCCAGCTCACCAATAAACGAGCCGGGTTGAGTTGGCCCACCAAAGGCTCAACCCGTGGTGGGCCGGGCCGGGCCGGGCCGGGTTACCCGTTTTGACAGCTCTAATAAATATAAAGGATGACTATTTCTTTTATATTTTCTTTCTAATAGCTAATATTTTTACTTAAAATAATGACTTTTTCTTATTTTAATTTAACCTTTTTTCCACTTAGATAAGTTAGACAAAATGAGTGTGTATATTAATTTGAATTTCTTTTTTACATAAGAAGGAGCTTAAAAATCGACAAATTTAGAAGACAAAAACAATAATTTTATTTGTTTTAACGAGGACTTCAACCAAATCCAGTTTTAGTTCTGTAGATTTTACGTTTGATTATTTTTATATTTATATTGGTATAACTTCTACATTTTAATCATTAATCTTAAAATTACTCATTTTGATCTCTTATACATATATATTTTTTAATTAATTTTAGTTCTTCCACATTTATAAACATTAAAAAGTAAAAATTATGCAGATATGATTACTACACGAATAATTAAGTCTACATTTTATTTATTTATTTATTTATTTTAACCGTTATTACAAATTTACAATTGACTTTTGTTTTATAAATATCTATAAATTATCATATATGGTAATTTTGTTAATTTTTATAATAATTATTTAAAAATCGTATAATAATAATTATATTTTGAATGATACCGATCTTTAATTAGTTAATGATATAAAATATTCATATTTATATGAATATAGTGTATTAATAATTTTTGAATTTAATAACTATGTACTTGTGATATAAAATATAAGCACCTGTCAATTAGTTACAAATTACTATTAGTATAATATTTTTAACTATTTATTAAATAAGTTAACAAAATCAATAAACATAATAATTTATAATTGAATGAGAATATAAAAATATTTTACTATGCATACTTTTTTTTTTGTTACATGTATAATTTTGAAGGCTTAAATAAATAGATGGGTTGGTGTCAAAATAAATAAATAAATAGATGGGTTAATTATTTAATTTAATCATGACACCAATCGTAAAGACCACAATAATGTCATTCACCTAAAAAGGAAAATTAGTAAATATGCAATATATTGATATGTTCACCTAACGTTACAACTTGTCACGAGAGATACGTCATGTCACACCATTCATATTCCAAACTTGGAGACGCTTGGAATCAAATCAAATCAAATACAATAAAAAAGAAATCGTAATGTATTGGTATTAGTATTTTATACGTATATTCGTATTTTGTTACGAAATTAGATGGAAGTGGTTAGCCCATTAATTATGCATCGCAGCAACACGGTCAAGCCTTAACGCCCGCGTCGTGTGCAAGATTATTCAAATGGTAGGGATAGCGTAGTTGTTAATTAATTTAACATTAACACTAATTAATTAATATTAATACCAGACACGTGTCGGTCACCGAAGTAGCCGAGGAAACCTCCTCGATGTAGATGAACGGTTGCAACGAGCCGTTAGATCCGAACCTAAACCAGACAGAACCAACCTCGCTTAACCATGGTTAAGTTAACTGAATTACGGAAACACCCCTGAACTTGAAAATAACAACGACCATAACCTTCTTTTAAGCGCTATAAGAGCAGCCTCCGAGACTCGCTAGGTTTGCCGAACCAACTCCTCAAAGGGGGCTTAGAAGAAGAAGAAGAATACAAAAAGTCCCTTTTACTTTTTTACCCTTTTCTTCTCGTGTTCTTTCTTAATGGCGAGTTCTTCAAGAACAAAATCCAGTGGACCAGTGCTTCGTTCTCTTTCGCCTTCTAACAACAAGTTCTGTTCCTATTCAACGTCAAACGCACCGTTTCATACACCCTCTTCAAACTTCTTCAACAAGCCTCACTCACACGTTCCTCACCGCTCCACTTCCCCGACACGTGTCAACATATACAGCGCCGCGCCCTCTCCCTCTTCCTCGGTCCGGTTCTCCCTCGACCGCTCCATATCCCCGAACCGGGCCGTGTCGAGCCACGTCATCGCGAAGAAAGGCCACGTCACGGCTCAGAAGAGAACGTGCATGTGCTCCCCAACGACGCATCCCGGTTCGTTCCGCTGCAGCCTCCACAAGAACCACCACGCGCCGTCCGGTTCGTTTCCGTCGAACCGGCTCAACATGCGCCGGTCCGCGATGAAGAACTCGCTTGTGAGAATCGGAGGAGTCGAAGGCGAGTGGGTGAAACGCGCCCTCACTGCGTTGATTCGTCCTTCGTCGCACCAACAGAGGAGAAGAGCCGCGTTCGAATCGAGACCGAGTCGTCTTTCAATCATGTCCATGGCTGTAGAAGATCTATGAATACTTTTTTTTTTTTTTTTTTTTTCCAATTACAGGTTCATTTTTGAATCGCCGGAATATTCTCTTCTCCGCCGCCGATGACGGAATCCGACGAAAATTTGGAAGATTACGGCGTAGATCTAAGAGACTCGACTCGGTCGGTGAATTGGTTTTTGTACATAACATTTGCTATGGAAGGAGAATTTTGGACAATTTTACTAGTTAATTAAAATTCAACTATGAAAAACTAAACCTAGAAAATTAAAGGATAATCTCAATTCACAATTTTAATTTGATCTGCGAAATTTCGATCTTCAGAATTCGGATTAACGAGTGAGAGTGATGATTGATGAGTTAGTTACGCTCGCCGTTAACGTTCCGTTGGTCACGTAGTGACGCCGTGTGGTGCGTTTGACGCCGCCGTTGACTCTCCGTTATCTTTGGTCCAGTTGCTTTGCGTTTGGTGCAAGGTATATATTCTTTATCCATTTTTTGATGCCTTTATTTATTTTTTAATTAAATATGTTTTATTTGATTTGGTTAATTGCGAGATTGGTTGTGCAGGTGTTTGGTGCAGGTGCTATTCCAGAACGACGGATTTCTTTTTTTTATGGAAGAACTCACATATTCGACATCTATAAAATAGTTAAGTGAAAAAAATAATAATTAAAAGAGTTTAATATTACAAAATGGAAAGAAAAAAAAAAAGGGTAACAAACACACCTAACAAGTAACAACTAATAATGGAAGGCGACTAATATTATAAAAAGAAATAAGTGGAAAATTGAAATGTTATGTTGAATATTAGTGCAACAATCTTTTCGTGAGATAAAGACAGCTGGCTGCCGTGTGATGCGATTCATTATAACTAAATCGCATTTAATGCAGTTATGATGCAACACAATACTCCTTCGAGTACCTTTCACACATACTAATAAATAAATAGATAAATTGAAACAGAATAATACTTTTATAAAATTAATTATATTATTAATTATTATCTTTTTATTAAAAATAGTGTAATACAATAATAATTTTCTAAAACTTATTATTAAAATGATGGTATAAACAAAAAACAATTAATATTACATTAAAATTAATATAATGCTTATTTTATAATTTTTTTGAAAAAATTATTATTAAAATATATATAAAATTATAATTATTATTACATTAAAATTAATATAACGTTTATTTTAAAATTTATTATTTTGAGGTTTATTGACAAAAGAAGTAGTACTAAAATTTCATATGTAGTAATATTATTGAAACTGTAATTTTCTTTTTGATATACTTAAATTTTGATTAAATTAAAGAGTTTTGCTTCTCTTTATTAGGTTAAGGTGAAAATGTTTAAAAAAATATATTAAATTTAGTTTTAAATATGTTTTTAGTTTCTTAAATTTAAAATTAGTCTTTTTAATTCTTATAATTTTTTTAAAAAATTATTTTAGTTTTTTATATTCAAATTTTATTAAAAAATTTATTAAATACTGTCACATAATATATATATATATATATATATATTAGAGTTCTTATTGACAAAATATCACATTAAATTTAATTAATATTATATAATTATTTTAATCCATCATTTTTAGATGTTATTGATGACTCGAGTACTAAAACAAATGTTTTTAAAATTATGAGACTAAAAAATCAATTTTAAATTGAGGAACCAAAAATAAATTTAGTTTAAATTTAAAAGAACTAAAAATTTATTTGTACCTGTCTGATGGGCACACTAAGTCTTCTAGTAGTCCGAAGGCCGAACGAGACTCCCGACCCAGTAATTCGATACGCTGAAGAGGAGGTTGGTACCTGCAAAAGGCACTCCGACGCTCAAGTCAGGACAAGCTCGAATCTCTAGGATAATTAATGAACAGTGGCATTACCTTTTGTCTTGAGCTATTTATACCGTCATTTATGAGCCCCGGACCCCATGGGCATCGCAGCATACTTACCGTATTAGGTAATACACCCTAATCAACTAATTAACCCCTAATTACTTGATTAAAGGTAACAAGTGACGATAGGCCGATCCAGGTGGCCGATTGGCATTCGGCTGCCCCGTTCTGCCATTCAGTGGCCGACAGGGTGGTGGCCGACCCCCCTACCTATACAATATTTAAGTCTAAAATTTATATAAAAAATGTGTTGCTACACTTTTGAACAAATAAAATCCCTCTATTTTTAATTTTTTAATTATTGTCTTTATGACAATTGTTAATTTTTTTTAACACAAAGTTTGAATGCTTAAGATCCACATAGAGTACTATAGAGCACTCAAGATTTGGATGCTAAACATGATAGTTTTAGATAACAACTCATTCTCCATGTACTTTTAGAGTGTGTTTGGATGGAAAATTTAAATAGGATAATTCATCTATTTGAAGAATATCAAATTTCTTGAGGTGAAATGCTTTATTTGAATGGAAAATTTACAAAAAATTTGAAATCCAAACATTTGTGAAATTCCTTAAAATAGTAGAATTTCAAATTCTAAAAAAAAATAGTAAGAATTTGAAATTTCTCATATTTATTTTTCTTATTTCACTTATATATTTTATCTTATATCTTCATTCTTTTAATTATTGAATATTCAAAAATATTTTTAAAATTATTAAATATTATTTAATATTAATTTTTAAAATTATTAAATATTTTAAAATCAGTTAATATTTATTTTATAAAATTTAATTTAAAAATCTTAACATATGAATATATTTTTAACATTAGTTTTACTATGGTAGAATCAAATTACCATATATCCAAACTAAAAATTTAAAAATTTAAAATTGGCTTATCCAAATAAAATATTTTTAAAATAATATAAATTAAAATCAAAATAATTTAAATATAAAAAATTTTAAATTTCTTAAATCCCTCATTCAAGCACAGCATGGAAAATACTTTGTGCTAAACTTGAGATATACACATATTCAAAATTTGGATGCTAAACACGAGAGTCCTAGAAAACAACTCATGTTTTATGTACTATTGACGCTAAACAAAAGTAATTTGCGCTATGCAAGTTCCCTTGAGAGAAGTGAGATTTGTTTTAATACTTGAGTTGCAAATTGAGCCGTTAAATTCTATATGATGAAACGTGAGATAGGAGCAATGAGAAATGCAATATGAGAGAATCTATTCCAAACTAGGGCAGGATTTGACATAAATTATTTATATAAGTATGTTATAATATTAAGATTTTGATTTTAAAAGTCAAAGTTTTACATCATTTAATCTTCATTTTATGACGCGTTTGAATAAATGCAATACAATGATGATTTTGCCCTTTTGTGTTTGTACCCAGGGTAGGCATGAGAAAAGGCTTAAACAACTCATTAATAGAGAATTAAAATATAAATAAGTTTTAAATAAGTTTTTAGTTCGTTAAATTTGGGATATATTTTTTTTTCAATTTTAAAATTTATATTTTTAGTTCTTATAATTTCAAAAAATAATATTTGCTTTTATATATATTTTTTGGTCTCTCAAATTTTAATATTATGATTTTAGTCTTAAAAATAACTATAATTATTATTTTAGATCTTGTTAATATGTTACTCACAGTTATGATATAACTGATCATGAGGAATTAAAACAATATATTTTAAAATTACATACTAAAATTATCAATTTTGAATTTGAGAGGTTAAAATAATATTTTTTATATATATTTTAGGACTAAAAGTACAGATTTCAAATTTGGGAGACTAAAAAAATATACGATCTAAATGTGGAGTACTAAAAACATAATTAACAAAAAAAAATTGTTAAATAAAAAAATAATCTAAGACTCCTAAAAATTTATGTTTTAATGATAACAAATTTATACATTTTTGTAAATACATAAAAAGATTAATTGTCTAAGATGATTGTATAAATTATAGTCAAAGATGACAGTTAACAGTAAAATGTATAATATTTCTTCCAATTAAACAAATGGTTTGTTTAAGACGAATGTCTTAAATGTCACATTTAATATGTTTGATTTTTTTTTATCATTTGCTTTTATATTATTCCTTAATAGATTGAAGAAATAAATATTATTTGATACTTGTAATGTATAAAGGAATAATGATTTTATTTTCATTAGAAAAATGACAAGCATACATGACAAAGTGTGTGAAGTCAATTAAAAGTCATTTTCATCTAGCACACAATAATACATGCAATACTTATTTTCCTTTCGTATCAAAAATGTATAAGTAATCTTAATCGATGACAATTTGATGAAACACATTTAATGTTGACATTTATTGCACCAACATACACCAAGTTCTACAAGGAAGCATGACAAAGTAAGATGAAACAAATCAAGGATGCTACTTAAGAATTTGCAATGATCATTTTCTAAGTGATATAATTTATTAACCCTAAAATCAAATAGATACAAATCATGACATATTATCGATGAGTATATGAGGAGAAAATAAGGAATTGTACACCTAATATAAGTTCTTCATGAAATACAAGGAGAACTATAATGATATTAGGGATGTCAATGAGGTAGGACAGGTATGGATAGTAGCTTATCGCTACCCTCTCTATCGGATAAATATTCACTTTGTACCCATTTTCATATCCGTGCGGGTATTCGTTGAGTAGGTACCTGTATATTTTTTTTCTTCTCAATATTCATGGATAGATCTACGGGTACTCACGGGTATTTACTAAAAAAATATCTTAAAAATATTTAACAAAATATTTTAATCATTCAGTTTAGTTATTTGTAATATTTTTCTTTTAAAAATTATAAAAATATGCATAAAAAAAGTTTGAAGATTATAATTAAAATAAAAATAAAATCAGCATAAAAAAGGTTTGAAAATTATAAAATTAAAATTCAAATATTCTTCAAAATTATACTAATGACAATAAGTAGATTTAAAAACTAAATTTTAAATGTTCAATCACATAAACTTAAAGTTCAGATAATAATTGTTAAAATAAAATATTTTGATTACACATAAACTAAAATAAAATATAATAAAGTACAATACTTAATTATTATAAGTCTAAATAAAGTTCAAATAAAATTAAATTTATACAAATTTAAATAAAATTTAATTCATACAAGTTAAAATAAATTGAATATTAGTGGATACAGGTACTATGATATCCATACCCTCCCATTAACTTAAGGGTATAAAAAATATTCGTATCAGTTATTCACGGATACTCGTTTACAATATCTATTTTCTATCTGTTGTGAATTTTATCCATAAATACTCACAGGTACAATTTTTTTTTAACATCTCTATACGAGATCCTTCAATCATGATTAATTATTCATTTTGGAATAAAATTAATCCATAAATAAAAACCATCATCTATAACCAAAATATTAAATTATTTTGATCATTAGAGAAGTAAACACAATCGTATCTTAAATTATGATAACCAAACACTTTAAAATTAGATTGTTTGATCTTTAAATTTTACATGTATTTCTTTGATAAAACTTTTTAAGTTTTAACTTTCTTCTAAATCTACTAGAATTCCTTTGAGATAATAACTCTTAAAATTTTCTTCTACATCCGTTCATAATGAAATTAAGGAAGATGAGAATGATAATATTTACTTGAGATTATATAACTTATTTTATCGACTATCTTAAGATTATCTTTTTAAGTATTTTCATTTCGGTCCATCACAAAAATAGTATCAGCTTTTAATTTGTACACATTTGTTCCCATATAGGATGATTAGTAAAGACTAACTACCATCCAAGCCCAAAATATTTAGTGAATCCATTGTTTATGATTATGATCGCCTAAAACATGTGCTATCTTTATTCACTATAATGAGCCCATAAATCACATTTATGACTACCATCAAATTTACGCAAAAATTATAAAATTGGTTGGCCAACTCCATGGATCCAATTCGCTCCACAACCTATTAGTGACTATAAGCTTGACTTGCTTGGTTAGTTGGAGAGTCACATGGTGCACAGTCATCACAGAGTGTGAAGAGTCTCAATTTAGCTCGTTCGGCCAGTTAAAGAGTCACACGGTACAATATTAAAGGCATAAACCCTGTTATATTTATTAAAGTTCATATTAAACAAGAGAAAAAAAACTATATTCTTCAATAGTATAATGTAATTTTACATCGTCATCCAATTATAACCTATAGTTTATGATAAATTTATTAACTTTTATAATAACTAGCTTAAAAGTCATATAAATAGTAATTTTTGATCGATTGATGGTGTAAATTTTTTTACACCAATAACACATAAATATTAAACCCTTATTTAAGACTAATGTTAAATAAATTACATTAAATAGCTTTTTTTTATTAAAGTTAAGAATGTTTTTTAGACTATAAAATAGTTTATAAACACTATTTTTTTTCTTAACCCATCAAAACACCATTTTAAGAATAAAATTGTGATAGCCTGATGAGTACTAAAATGAATAATACCTCAGATGCAGTAATGTTAACCATGCTAACAAATTTATGGTCATAACATTGATGCTAGAAAGAAGATCCATGCTACTCTTGCTCCATTGCGTCAATTAGAAAACTTATTTTAATATGCCTAAAATTCGTACATCACTTAAAAATGAATGTTAAGAATACTTTATTAACACTTTTCCTTCTTAATTTATTGAAATACCTCTTCAAAAACAACAATAACAACTTAACCAATGTCAAAATAGATAATAAAATATTTTTTGAAGAATAAAATAATAACAATCTAACACAAAAAATTTATTCGATAATAACTACATTTTTTTTCTTATTTTAATTTATATTTTTATCATCCAAATACACGCATAAAAATAAATATTTTTATAAAATCACATTCTTAAATTAAAAAAAAAAACAAAAACAGAACCCACAGAGAAGTTGGGTCCCAAACCGGAGTTCCCATAGGTTAGAAAAAGAGCGGCAGTTTGATAAATATTCTAGGGGCGGTGTCGTGTCGTGACACTTTCCTTCCGTACATAAACGCTTATATGTTATATCTAATCTGTGTCACTTTCATAGAAAATTCTCAACCCTTCATTACTTACCCGTTCGAGTTCACCCACACAACCAAACACACCACTATCGCCATGTCCTCCATTTCCACTCTCAGGAGCAGATCCTCACCCTTCATCGCCCAACGCCTCTCAATCCAACGGTTCCAGATCCGCCACTCTTCCACCTCTTCGCCCGCCTCGTCGCTCCTGAACTCCTCGGACCCGGTTCGAACCGGCTTCGGCCTAAGGTGCATTTCGACCGTCCTGGCCGGCACCAGTTTAGGGTTTCTTCTGTACGGATTCTGCTCTTCTTCGCCCAATTCCGAGTTTGACTCAGCTCTGCTCAAAAGCTCAATCTCTTCTCTCGTTGACTGGTCAACTCCGACTCTCGAGGACCCAAACCGACGTCGTTCCTTCTTTCCAAAATTTTCCTTCCCTGAAATAAACGGTGGCTCGCTAGTTGGAGGCAAGTTTCTCTCTTTTTTAAGGTCCACCAAATATTTATTTATTTTAATAAGTTAAGTTGGTGGTTCTAGTTTTGTGAATAATGATAATATTTTTTTTTTTGTTGGTGCAGATGCCTTCAGGAGAAAGATTTTCTTCAACTATGAGAAGCGCATTCGGTTGCGAAGTCCTCCTGAAAAGGTGCTTTTTGTGTTTTAATTAATTTGTAACAGGATAATATCTTCCTACATGCACTATGTTCACTTTGTGTGTGATTACTGTGGATTATTATTATTATTATTATTATTATTTATTTATTTATTTTTTAAAATTAATAGCTACTTTAAGGTTAAGACTATAATTTTTAAGTAAAAATTGTATGCCAATTTTCACTTCTCTATCTTAAGAGAGAGAGGAATTATTATATGGTTCGGATGTCTTGAAAAGTTATTTTTCCTTCTTTTATAAAAATAAGGTGCATAATGTTTTAATAATTTTCCAGAAAATGTGTTTGGCGTAGCCCTTCTTTTAAAGGAGAAGAGAAGTCCAGAAAAAAGTTGAATGCATACTAAGTGCAGGAAGCGTTGAATGCATTTTACTTTTTAAAGATATCAGATAACTTTCCCGTTTCATTTAATAATCAATAATTATCTTACATGGAATTAGGAGAATTAGTAATAGAATATAACATTACTCGATTCATGTTACATAAAGTAATATGCTTTTGAATGATCACTGCATTGACAATGTCTACTACTCTTTGGCTTAAGGTTTTTGAATACTTTGCATCTGATCGTAGTCCAGAAGGAGAAGTACTGATGAAACCAGCAGATTTAATGCGGGCAGTGGTTCCTGTTTTCCCTCCATCTGAATCCCACCTTGTTAGAGATGGATACCTCGAAGGAGAAAGGAGGCCGGGCCATCTACGCTGCCCTCCTTCTGAATTTTTTATGCTCTTTGATGTAAACAATGACGGACTTATATCTTTTAAAGAGTGAGTTAGCTCCTTTGTGTTCTCTCTAAATGTCGTGTTCTCTCATTCTCTGTCAAGATTTTTTGTGATTGGGGAGTAAGGTGTGTTACTATTTATTTTATGGAGTTAAAGCATGTTTGGTTTCACAAAACATGGTTTCACGGTTTTTTTGCCAATTTTTGGAAACATATAGTAAAAATGAGGTGATGACATGATGTTTTTGTAATTGTTGAGTTTTGTGACAATAGGAAATGAAAACAGAAAATGTTTTCTCAAACTAAACATGCCCTGTGTTTCTTCTCTTTCCATGTTAGTTACAAAATGTCTCTGTTACGGGAAAGGGTAAAATCTGGCAAAGCAGCCTAAGTAGAATTCAATTTGAGGATCAAGCATTCCTCAAAGAGGCTTGCTGCCTCTTTAACTAAGGTTATTTGGCTATTTTTCCTCTAGTTCGTAATTTCTTTACAATCTGTCTCCTAATGTCTGTGCGAATGTGTGTCCTAATGCTGTTATTTTTCTCTGGAGCAGGTATATCTTTTTTGTTACACTACTCAGCATCCCAGAATCAAGCTTTTCAGTGACATTTAAAATGTTTGATGTCGACAATAATGGGTAAGTGTTCGTGCTACTCCTTTGAAAGTGAAGTATCACTTGGTCGTCTCAATGTATTTATTGCCCGAGTTAATTTGTTGTAAATACTAAATAGTGATTCTCTATTTTACAGTATAGTCTGCCTTTTATTCATTTTAACCATTATATTAATCAATCATTTTTTGAGCATGAGGTCATTGCTATTAGTTTGTGGCGATGACATCAATTTTGAGGCTACACAAAATGTTACACTGTAATTCTAGCTACATTATGAATTGGATTTACTGCCCTGTGGCTGCTTGCCTTTCCATTATTATACCTCTCTCTTGATGACATCAATTTGTTTTCCCCATTTACAGGGAGATAAATAAGGAAGAATTCAAAAAAGTAATGGCATTGATGCGATCTCGTCATCGACAGGGTGTTCACCACAGGGATGGACTGCGAACTGGCCTAAAGGTGAATGATTCTGTGGAAGATGGAGGGCTGGTGGAATTCTTTTTTGATAAAGATGGAAATGGACGCCTCCAGCATGATAAATTCGTAAAATTTTTGAGAGACTTGCATGATGAGGTAAATTTCTAGTTGCTTTAATCACAGTCATTATGGGGTTTGATTTATTTTTGTTTTGTAGGGAATGATATGTTGAGGAGTTAGGCAACTATACTCCACTGAAGTTTTCTTCTTCTTAGCTCCCTCTATCTCTTTTTATTTGGTGTTTTTCTCTTATGTTAGGGAGGATTCCTTATCCTCCAAATGCACTGTAAGCTCTTGTCTTTTTGTCTTAGTAAATTCATTTTTTAAACACCCCTTCCCAAATGCAGGGAATAGTAAAATCTAAAGTTTGATTTTTGATTTCTGGTGTTTTGGCTTGAAGGATAGTGATAAGTGGCTACGTGTCATTTCTGCTCCACATATTTTGATAAACTTATGATATATTGCATAATTATGCATGTTGTTGAAACATATCTTTATACTTTTATGTTTGAAATATCATTAATGTGAAGGCAGTTGTAGTTGTGTTGTGAGTTGTGACATGTGATAGTAGCATTAAATTAAGAATTGAGAAATGCTTTACATTTAATCTGAGAGAACTTTTAATGTTTGTGAATTTAAGGTCCTTAGTCATATTAAATACTACAGGAAGCATTCAAACTAGTTTTGAAACCAATAATTCTTTGGAACTATTTGGGATATGGTGATTGTGCTTGTGGGTCTGGCATGCTATCTTTTAGATCTATTTTGATATTAGAAAGGGAAAGGCTAGCACAAGGATAGTGAAAATACTTGGAAGTTTGCTTGGTAGGTATGTTATAGAACTGGATCCGGAAAGAGAAAAAGATAGAGAGAATAGATGAAGAAAAGTGACAAAATGTGTATTATTCTTTAGTACCACTCTGATAACAGAGCCAGAGATGAATTGCACTGATGCTCAAGGTATTCGAGAGACCCTGACCTCTCCTCACTAGAGTCCAACCAAACCATTCCAACTGATAAGATTCCCTCCCTCAACTACTTCTCTTATTTGTAGGCTCATGCCTTATTCAAATTATCTCACATAACTAACTAATGACTTACTAACGTATTGTAACAAAATACTAATGGGGTTTACCTAACAATACTCCCCCCTAAACATTTACCTTGTCCTCAAGGTGAATAGCGGTTCCATCAGGGTTCCAACTAGTTGAAGCATGATGATTAATCCAAACCTCTAGCCCTCATGGTTCAAACACGAATGAGTGCCTCCAATATCTTCCAATGCTTGTTGGTCAGAAACATAGCATCCAAGCCTCTGTTCTGTAGTTAATAATGAGATGAGCCCATTGCTCTCTAGCCAACTGCACATGGTTGTAGCTGATGATTATCAAGGTCCTTTGCCTTATTTTTCTGAACCCTGCCAATTAGGAGATGGGAAAAATTCAATTGTTGTGATTTCCAGTTTGCTTCTTCTGCTCCCACTGTACTCTATATGGCTGGACTGAATAACATGGAAAAGAAATAATTTCCTCTTCCAGAATTCCAATTCTTCTCCTTGGTCTTTTGGGTTTGGCTCATCAGGCTAGAAAATGAGTTGCCTTTGTGTAATGGGCTAGCTGAATGCATGTCATTGCATAGCCTTTTCAATCCTCTGTATCTTTTCTTCCTCGGTTATTCCTGTGGCCTCAGAATGCTGCTTCACATCAATTGGTCACCATAAGCTTCTTTTCCTTCAAATTCTGGAATCCTCTTTAAAGAATCGATATCAATAGCTCCTATCAATAGCTCTATTATCGGAGCTCTAATATCAGTTGATAGAATGATCAGGACAGAGAAGAAAATAGAGAAAATCGATGAAGAGAAGTAATGAAATGTGTATACCACACACTGGTAACAGAGCTAGAGACGAGTTATACAAATGCTCAGGGTGTTTGACAGACCCTGCCCTTAAGAGTCTAAATGTTTCCAACTTGATAAGATCCCCCTCTCTCAACCCTTTTGTTATTTACAGGTACATCCCTTATTCAAACTATCTCACATAGCTAACTAATATAACTAACAAATGCCTAACTAACCAACCTATTATATCTAACTACTAAGTTACCTGACAGATTGCGACATGTGGTGCTTGCATAAATTTTATACACACAAGATTATTCTTTTCCATTTGCTGAAAAAGTTTCATTTTCTATAGGAGTGATTATGTATGATGGTTAGTTGCAATATTTTTTTTGTAGATTCTGAGGCTGGAGTTTGCTCATTATGACTACAAATCTCGACAAACCATATCAGCCAAGGACTTTGCACTCTCCATGGTTGCTTCTGCTGACATGAGTAATCTAGGCAGGTTGCTTGGACGGGTTGATGGATTGGATGATGATCCACGTTTTAAGGATTCACGAATCACATTTGAGGACTTCAAAAACTTTGCAGAGCTACGGAAAAAATTATTACCATTTTCATTGGCCCTTTTCAGCTTTGGAGAAGTAAATGGTCTATTGACAAGAGACGATTTTCAACGAGCAGCATCTCATGTATGGCATCTATCTTTTGACTTTTTGCTCAACATATTTGTAGTGGACTCATGGTTATGAGTAGTCATTTCTTATAGAGGATTAAATTTTCATATCATCTAATCAATGTTACAAATATTTTCTGCCAGCAACCTTTTGGGTTATATGATGTGTGGAGTATGGACTTTAGATTAAACAATGTTTTTCTAATTTTCTTTTTCCTTCGCCAGATTTTGTAGATTATATGGCAAGGACAGCAAATTCTTATTTTGTTTGCCTGATATAATTTCAGGTATGCGGCATTTCTCTCTCGGACAATGTGGTTGACATTGTTTTCCATTTGTTCGACACAAATCGGGATGGAAACCTAAGTTTTGATGAGTTTGTCAGAGTACTACACAAGCGTGAGAGGGACATTGCACAACCCGTGGAGACAGGAATAATGGGTTTGTTGTCATGCTGCTGGAACTGTAGTAAAAACTTCTCATCTTCATGGTTGTTTTCCTGATTTAGAAAAGTTACTTTCACAAACATTTCAAGATCAGACATAACAGAATAGATTGGAGTTGGAGCCGGTGAACAGAAGAGAAAAATAAAGGTAAAGGTGGGTAGTGAGCAGTGACTGTTGATCTGGGACTGGAAGTTTCCCGTAAGATACATTTCTATGTCAAACACAGATCTTCCTGATATCACCTCACTTTGCAGTACCCTTGAAGAAAAGATGAGCACACACATAACCTACTTTTTGATAGCTTAGAAATATCAAACAAGTATGTTGCAAAATCAATGTGTCACTGAGGTGGGGAAAATATCTAGTTTTCCCCACTTTATGCTTTTGGTTTCGGGTTTGGCTGCTGATACCCTTGATACCCGGAACTATTTGGGCTTTGCCATGTAAGTATGTACCCTAATCTGTACTTAGAAATCATTCAGTTCCATGTAATTTTTAAAGGACTTCTATGAATGCCTACAATCGTTCGTATTTGCGGTGTATGTTGATGTATTGTAATACCTACCTATGGGTATGCCTCTTGCAATACTATAAGCTCTTTAGTAATTTACATTAGAGTACAGTGAGATGTTATAGCCTTGAGGGGAAAAGTGAGGGAGTAAATTTCATTGTATCAAATATATAATAATCTCTATTTCTTTGGGTCCATATCTATTGATATTTATGATTATTTTTTTGTGAATGTGGGATATCTCTGTCACTTGTCAGACTAATATTTTCAAGGGATTGATTTCTTTCAATAGTATTTTTTGGTACACACGAACTTGGAAATTAATTTTCTAACAATACACAGGTATAATTAGTACATGTATTTAATCTTCTTTTCTAACTAAAAATCATGAGCTGCATTGTAGATTTCGGTATCATTTTTTTTTCAACTGTCCATTTTACTCTTCTGAACATGTGACTAAGTATTTGGTAGGGTGGTGTGCGAAGGACTTACCTGAACACCCTGAAAATTTATAAGAGCGGCACTAATCTTGAAACAATTAAAAAGATATGGTGTAAAGGGAGTATCATTAATGAGTTTAATTTTAATGTATCGTTTGGGTAAAAATACGTTAACTAATAAAAAATAATCTTAGGGGTATGCCTGTTAAAATATTTAATGTAAAAATAAACAAGTTTATCATATATAAAAATATGTAAATAAATTACAGCATAAAAAATCATTACACTAAATACTAATATTATAATAAAATGTTTATTTATTTATTTATATTGTTTCACATTTTTATAGCCCTTTACTTGATGAAATCAGAGTCCAACTCTGCATAGTGACACTTACTAATTGAAACTATTCACTATTATTTAACTACTAAATGCATATAATGGGAAAAATATAGTTTTTGGTAGATGAGGAAAAACGAGCAGAAGAAAAGGGAGGAAAAAGTACACCATTAGGAAATTGAACACCCAATGCATTAGAGCTTGGTGAGTGGAGTGGGCCAAATCCAGTAGACAAAATCAGTCATGTGAGGCACCTTTCTTGGTCAGAAACTCGGCACATAAGTTCCTCTGTCAAATTATGGTGAAGTTGCACTACCCAAATTAAGTCCGAGGAGACCTTGAATTTATTGGTGATGATCAGATACTTCTGGAAAGTGTTAGTGCCTTTAACACAGCATGACACGAGTCGGAGTGCGCAATAAGTTAGGCGCAGGTGATTTTTTTTTTAATATGAACTTAAAACATAATAGTGATGTATTTTATAACGAGAAGAAAGCTATGTTACATGTAATTTTATACGATAAATTTATTAACTTTTATGATAATTATTTTAAAATCACGCCAACATTAATTTTTAATTAATTTATAGTTTTTTATTTATTTACATTTTCTATGCATAAATATTAAACTCTTATGATATTAGTCAATGGGCAAATAATAAAAAGTAGGTTAAATATCTCTTTTGATCTTTTATAATGTTTTTTTTTTCAATTTAGTCTCACTTTAATTTTTTGTCTTAATTTGGGACTTCCGTCTAAATGATTTAAACGGAGTTAACTGGTGGCGACGTGGATGCCAGGTGAATGTCATGTAGATGCCACGTAGGTGGATCCAAAATACTTGAATTGACCTGGAACCAGAACCACCCGTTCTGAAACCAGAACGACCCGTTCTGAAACCAGAACGGCCCGTTCTGGTTACATTATTGGTGTGTAAAATTTGCACCTGGAACGGGCCGTTCCAGGTCCAAAATTTACACATCAACAGTGTAACCAGAACGGGCCGTTTTGGTCCAGAATTTCGTGCAAAAAAACCAAAATACAAAGCATTTTTTTTAGGGAAAATATAAAGCATTTCAAACACTAGATTTAGTAATATTGTTAATGAGGATTAATAACTTCAATCGCTAAACATTTGGGCTATACAGTATATTATTAAAGATGATGCAGTGTATCACTAAGGACAATGGTAACAAGTTTTATTTCATTGTTAGTCAAACCGGAGTGAACCACTTACTACTAAATTGTCACTATACAGTCAAAGATAAAACGAAACAGTATTTTTCCTTAAAGTCATTGACGATGTACCCCAACAATAACAACCTGTTCTTGAGGAGGTACCCTTAAACCCTGAATTTTATTTTCAATTTTTGAAATACATTGCGGCATTTTAGTCAAGATTTTGATTTGGATAAATTCAAATCAAAGAAATATTTTGGAAGGTCTTATCTTATTTGATTTTTTTTAGTTTTATTCATAAATGAATATTAATTTATTGTATCTTTTATTTATTATATATTTATTAATATAGATATAATAAAAAAAATATAATAAAAAGCATGGAGTTCCGGAACGGGACGTTCTGAAACCAGAACGGGCCGTTCTGGTTTCAGAATGGGGTTTTTGGTTTCAGAACGGGCCGTTCTGGTTTCAGGTTTTTTTCAAAAAATTTGGCGTCGCATCCACGTGGCATCCACGTAGATGTTACGTGGTCAACAGTTAACTCCGTCTAAATCATTTGGACGGAAGTCCCAAATTGCACTAATTTAAGTTATTGAGGACTAAATTGAGACAAAAAGTTAAATTGGGACTAAATTAAAAAAAAAAAACATTGTAAGGGAACAAAAAAGTATTTAACCTAAAAAGTATATATTATAAATATAAATTATAAATGATAATAGCTAATAGAAAAGATGTTCCTAAATAGTTAATAAATTTAGGGTTAAAACCCTATTTTGGTCCCTTATAATATTTTTTTGTTTCAATGTAGTCCCCCATTTATTTTTGGTCTCAATTTGGTCCCAAACTAATTAATTGGTTTCAATTTAGTCCCAAATTATTAATTGGTTTCAATGTAGGACTTCCGTCCAAATTATTTAAACGGAGTTAACTTTTGGACACGTGGATGCCACGTAGATGCATACGTGGATGCCACGTGGATGACAATTTTTTTGAAAACACCTGGACCCAGAACGGCCCGTTCTGAAACCAGAACGGGCCGTTCTGGTTGCACTTTTCGTGTGTTAATTTTGCAACGGAAACAGGCCGTTCCAGATGCGAAAATTAACACACCACCAGTGCAGCAGAATGGGTCGTTATGAAAACAGAACGGACCGTTCTGGTTTCAGAACGGGCCGTTCTGGATTCAGAACGGTCCGTTCCAAAACTGATAATAGAATATTGTTTGCTTAATTGTGTTTTTGGTTGCTCAAGTATTATAATTATGCAATTTTGATCCCTAAGATTTTAATTGAGTAATTTCAGTCCTTAAAAGATTTTAGTTGTGTAATTTTAGTCTCACAATTTTTAATTGAACAATTTTAATCTCTCAAATATCATAATTGTGCAATTTTAGTCTTTCTCATTAAAAATTTAATAATTTTAAAATTTTAATATATATATATATATATAATGTTTTAAAACTATATAATTGTTTGCTTATTTAAATTAACGTATATTATAATTTTTTTTAATGTATCAAATGATATATATTTATTATTAATATTTAATGGGAGAAACTAAAATCGTACTATTATGATATTCGAGGGACTAAAATTGTTCAATTAAAAATTGAAGGACCAAAATCGCGAATTGCAATTCTTTAAGGACTAAAATTACCCAATTAAAATCTTGTGGATCAAAACTGCACAATTGTAATACTTGAGGGATAAAAAATGCAATTAAACCAATATTCTTTATTAATTTTATTAAAAAATATAATAATTTTGAAAAATATTTTTTTATGGTAAAAATTTTAAAATTACTTATTTTTATAAAATACAATTGTCTTATAAATAGAGTAATAATTTTTTCTTTTTCTCTTTCTGTTTGAAGAAATATTTAAGTATCACTTTATAATTTTTTGCAACTTATTTAAGATTAGAGGAATAAAATGATAAAAATTAATAAGATAAACATAATAAAATAAAATATAAAAAAAATTTAATATATTTATTTTATTGGATATAATAACATAATTAAAATATAATTAATAATATATATTTTATAAAATTATTAATATTTTATATATAAAGAAAAATGAAACCGGAACGGCCCGTTCTGGGCCCAGGTGTTTTCAAAAAAATTATCATCCACGTGGCATTCACATATGCATCTACGTGGCATCTACGTGCCAAAAGTTAACTCCGTTTAAATAATTTGGACAGAAGTCCCATATTGAAACTAATTAATTAATATGGGACGAAATTGAAACTAATTAATTAGTTTGGGACTAAATTAAGATAAAAAATAAAAAAAAGACTATATTAAAACAAAAAAAGATCGGGTCCAAAATAGAGTTTTAGGCTAAATTTAGCAACCTCATCCGTATAACCGGCAAGAAAGGACAATAACAAAAAACGGTCGAGAAGTATCTATGTATCTCCATTGGCGCGTGTGGTCTGATTAAGAAGTCGTCAAATGTAAGGAAAATAGTAACCAAAGAAAAAAAAAAAAAAAAAGAGTGCGAGGAAAGAAGTGGAGACCACACGTTAGAATGAAGGAAAAATAAAATAATGATTGAATGCGAATATTGGAGGTAAAGAAAGAAGTGGGGGCCAAGAACGTGGTTTCCTCCGTATTTTAGGGTAGAAAATTGAGATGGCATGACCCCAAGGGTTGGAACTCCACAATCCACATGGTTTTGTGCTGTGTTGGTTTTATGATAAAGCATTGGCCTAGCCTTGTTGATTCCTGACGACACGAGATAGGCATAATCATAGCATCATAACATAAGATGGGGAAGCCGACGGGGAAAAAGAAAGATCAGGAGGCAGGTCCTGCGAGGGCGAACGGGCACCACGGGCACTCCAAGTCATGGGAGGAGAAGCGGGGGTCGTCGAAGGCTCTGGACGAGGACACGGCGATGTTCATAAACATGTCGCAGGAGCTTCGGGAGGAAGGGAACAGGCTGTTCCAGAGGAAGGACCACGAGGGGGCGATGCTCAAGTACGAGAAGGCCCTCAAGCTGTTGCCCAAGAACCACATCGACGTGGCGCACCTGCGCACCAACATGGCCGTCTGCTACATGCACCTCGGCCTCGGCGAGTACCCACGCGCCATCAGCGAGTGCACCATGGCGCTCCAGGTCTCGCCCAGGTACAGCAAGGCCCTTCTGAAGCGCGCCAAGTGCTACGAGGCCTTGAACCGCGTCGATTTGGCCATGCGCGATGTGCGCGTCGTCCTCAATTGGGAGCCTAACAACTCCACCGCCTTGGAGGTTTTGGATAGCTTGAGGAAGACCATAGATGAGAAGGGGATCGTCGTCGACGAGACCGAGATCGCCCTCGCCGCGCTGCAGCAGCAGCCGGAGGCCGGCGCCTCTTCCCGCCTCCGGAAGGTGGTGAGGGAGAAGATTAAGAAAAAGAAGGATTTCAAGGGTGAGGATGAAGGGTCATCAAAGAATGTCATAATTGAGGAGAAGGAGAATGTTAAAATGAAGGAGAAAGAAAAAGAGAAGGAGGAAAAAGGGGTGGTTACTAGGACTGTGAAGTTGGTATATGGAGAGGATATAAGGTGGGCGCAATTGCCTGTGAATTGTGGGATGAGGTTTGTGAGGGATGTGATAAAGGATAGGTTTCCTGGGTTGAAGGGTGTTCTTGTCAAGTATAGAGATAGGGAGGGGGATTTGGTTACTATAACTAGTACTGCTGAATTGAGGTTGGCGGAGACTTGTCATGTGCTTGGGTCGATTAAGCTTTTTGTTTCGCAGGTTGAGCCGGAACATGAGCTGTGTTATGACGATGATGAGGTGGGGGTGGGGGTGGGGGAGGGTCTGAAGTTGAAGCGGGTTGAGAATGAAGGCAGGATGAGTACTACTGTGGAGGATTGGCTTGTGCAGTTCGCGAGGCTGTTTAAGAATCATGTTGGGTTTGATTCGGATGTGTATTTGGACATTCATGAGGTTGGGATGAAGCTGTATTCGGAGGCCATGGAGGAAGCGGTGACCAGTGAGGCTGCTCAGGAGCTGTTTGAGATTGCGGCGGATAGGTTTCAGGAGATGGCGGCTTTGGCGTTGTTCAATTGGGGGAGTGTGCATATGTCAAGGGCGAGGAAGCGGGTGAATTTGATGGAGGATGGGCCAAAGGAGTCTTTGTTTGAGTGTGTTAAGGCTGCGTATGAGTGGGCTCAGAAGGAGTACAAGAATGCAGAGAAGAGATTTGAAGAGGCTGTGAAGATCAAACCGGATTTTTATGAGGGGCGTCTTGCACTTGGGCATCAGCAGTTTGAGCAAGCGAGGCTCAGCTGGTGTTATTTGATTGCAAACGAGAAGGATTTGGAAGCTGGACCTTCGGATGAGGTTCTGCAGCTCTATAACAAGGCGGAGGACAACATGGAGAAAGGCATGTTGATGTGGGAGGAGATTGAGGAGCGGCGTTTGAATGGATTGTCCAAATCAGACAAGTATAAAGAGCAGTTAGAGAAAATGGGTTTGCATGGTCTTTTCAGGGATGTTTCTGCTGATGAAGCTGAAGAGCAGGCTTCGAGGATGAGGTTGCAGGTATATCTTTTGTGGGGAACCTTGCTCTATGAGCGCTCTGTTGTGGAGTATAAGCTAGGCCTGCCAACATGGGAGGAATGTTTGGAGGTTGCTGTTGAAAAATTTGAACTGGCTGGAGCTTCTTCCACTGACATTGGGGTCATGATAAAGAACCACTGTTCTAATGAAACAGCAATGGAAGGTATGAAATGGGAAAATATATTCCATCGTGCCTTGTGTATTTTTCAAACTCCTTTTTAAGTTTCAAATATTTCAGGGAACTAACAAACCAATTCTCATAATGCCAGGGTTCAAAATTGATGAGATAGTGCAAGCATGGAATGAGATGTATGATGGGTGGCAGTTTGATGTCCCATCATTTCGACTTGAACCATTGTTTCGTCGGCGTGTTCCAAAACTCCATTACATCCTGGAGCAATTTTGAGTTTTCTTCTTGTGTTTGTTATTCTTTATAGAGGCAATATTAGTGCTTCTATTTTCTTTATAAGTTTTTGAAGGCTTCTTCATTCCATTCCAAGACAGGTAAGTAAGACCGTGCTTCTACTACAGTTCTGTTTGCATGTTCCTATTGCACAAGATCTTTTAAATTGTCTAGAAAATTTAGGGAGATTTGGTAGAATCTGAAAGTTTTACACGTTTATTCCTCTAAGTGAAATTTTGATTTTTTATTTTCATGAACAATGGAATTGTATACCAAGTGTGTTCCGTTGTTAACTCCAAGCGTGTGGTTCAGTGGTAGGGGTTGATCCACGCTTAAGCAAGGTCAGGGGTTCGAATCCTGCCTTGTGTATGCAGCCGTGTTAAATCTTGGGGCCAGCTATCCCACCCTTTGAGGTGCTTAGTCACCGCTGTCAGCGGTGGATACTCCAGGGATGAACCAAAAAAAAGTGTGTTCTGTAAGAGTATCTTTCTGGACTGGCTCATGATAGGATTTATCTTTTGTGTTGTTAGGCTCTCAAAGTTGAGAGCTCAAGATCCTGATTTATGTATTTAGAATAGAGATTCAAAGGGAAGCCTAGTAAACAATGCTTCCACTTGGTGGGTCTAGACAAGGTAGATGTACGCAGCCTTACCCTCACAAGCAGAGAGGCTGTTTCCAGGATTTGAACCCCTAATCACTAGGTCACAAAAGCAGTAACTTTACTGTTGCGCACCATGCCAAGTCTTGCCCTCGATACGTATAGTGAATGTTTCTACTCACGGTAAAAAAGATAGTAACAAAAAATTCTGAAAGCTTTTATACATACAAGTTGTACAACTATACGTGTATGTGGCTGACCTATATCCTGGAATACTACAATTAATTGACAAATGATAGCTGCGTCTTTCATGGAATCACAATTTGATGTTAAAGAGGAAAAGGAGAGTGTAAAGAGTAAATGTATATGTGAGGTTAGAGACGAAAAGGGTAAAAGACGTCCGGTGTTTATTGATGAAGTTGGGAACTTTGATGACGAAGTCTTAAAGCTCCAATCTCTCTTTACCCTTTTCACTCTCCTTTTCCTCTTTAACCTGAAACCTCCTCGTACCCTTTTCACTCCCTTTTTCCTCTTTAACCTCAAACCTCCCTTACCATTTTCACACTCCTTTTCATCTTTTAATCTTTACAATGCCTCAACCCCTTTTCAAAGTCATTATCATCATCAATTCCAGAACCTATCACTTCTGTCCACTCTGATTTTGAACTTCAAGATTATCAAGATGTTCAGCAATTCAGATAGACTTTTGCTGACACTCGTTATGTAGCTGGTTTACATAACCCCTTGCTGGACTTATAGACACATGTGATACTTAGTTCTGGTTCTATGTCTCAAAGTGAAAAAATAGAATGGAGATTTTCCCCCATTGACTGAGTCATTATCTTCAAATGTGAACATAATTTGAAATCAGGCTCTTTAACCATTGTAGGGTAGTTTTCCAAACATTTTATGCAAATGAGGCTGTTTTCAAATTATTTATGCCTTTGGAGTTGTTTGCTACGGTGTCTCCATGGGTCATAATGACCTAAGTGACATGTGACATTTTTTTTTGAGCCATGAGAGCCATGAAGTTAAGGTCCCTACAACCTCTAGTGACCCAATTTAAGTCGTTATTAGTTGTAACGACACAAGTTGACTGAAGTGAAAAAAAAGGTCACTATGATCCATAGCACCACACAATATGACTTTGCGTACCCTCAGTTGCAACATGGCAATGTTAAAATAAAAAAAAGGTGCAGTTATGGGTCATAACGACTTCAAGTAACTATGGGCCATAGCGATTTTAAGTAGTTATAGGTTATAACGATTTTAAGTAGCTAGGGCTTATAGTGACTTGAAGTCGTTATGGGGCATAACACCTCACACTATGATCGCGTGTACCACTGATTGGGGCACGCCACATGTTAAAATTAAAAAAAAAAGTGTAGCTGTGGGTCATAGCAGCTTCAAATCGTTATGAACCATAGCGCCACATACTTTAACTGTGTGTACCCCCCAGTTGGAACATCCCACGTGTTAAAATTTTAAAAAGAGTGTAGTTATGGATCATAGCGACCCAAAAATATATATTTCTTTTTAATTTTTAAAGGGGATGTTAGCTACAAAAAAAAATTAATTTAAGATTACAAATTATTCAATCCTAAACAGATTTTATTTTTATAATTTTTTAAAATATAAATAAATACATAACAAATTTTAAAAAATAATCTGAAACATATTATTTATTTAAAAAAACATGAAAATACTTTTTTTTTTATAAAATGTTAACAGGTTTCTTTTAAAAAAATTAAAGAATATTAATAAATAACTAATTAAAAATTTTAAAAATTAATCTGATAAATATTTTAAAAAATAAATCAAAAGAATTTTTTATAAACTTTTTTGTAACAATATCAATAAATTATTATCAGAAAAAAAATAGTAAAAAATTATAAATATTATTTTTAAAAAAAGGTTAATAGGTTTTATTTAATATTTTTTAAAGAATATAAATAAATAACTAAGTAACAATTTTATTAATTTATCTGATAAATATTATTTTTTAAACAAATGATAATACTTTTAATTTTTTTTTAAAAAAGAGTGTAGCTATGACTTATAATGGACTTCAAGTCATTATGAGTCGACACACATTGTGACCACACGTACCTCCAGTTGGAACGTACCACGTGTTAAAAGTTAAAAATAAAAAGTCGTTGTCTACACATGGTGTCATTTAGCAAGTCGTTACAATCAATAATGACAACGACTTCAAGATGACTAAAAGGGCTCCACTAATTTTTTTTAAAAAATTTTGTCACATGTCACTTGAGTTGCTACGATCCATAATGACATTATAACAAACAGTTCCAAAGATGTAAATAGTTTTAAAAATGTTTCATTTAGGTAATTAGTTTGAAAAACTCCCTCCAATGGTCAAAAAGCCTTGAAATCACAGAAAAATGTTCGTGACTTCTTGCTGTCCTTTTTTACCTCTTTAATCCTTTTCTCACTCGTAATATAGAATATTCAGCTGAGTAACTTTGTTAGAAGTTTTGATGCTGAGCCCTTCATTCCTTGTGCACATACCGGGAGTTGAAATTTATGCCTTTTTGGCACTTAAAACTTCTGGTTGTCTGGGGCCTATAAAAGATCAATGTAGACATTTTAGGAATTCATTTCTTTAAATTACATTTTGAGATGCAGTCATATTCTATTTCAGGCGATTCCCAAAAAGCGCCTCAATGAAATTGTTGCAAAGAATGGGATTGCTTTAGCATTTGTGACTATGGGATTCGCTTCTCATATGGATGGACCTGCAGACGGGTGTGGTCTAATTGCCGTTGGTGAAACAAGATTAATGCCTGATTTGTCTACTATAAGGAGAATACCATGGTAAACAGTTTTTTTCTTAAGAGGATATCTGAGCATTCATAATTTCAACTTGTTTTGCGATAACAATGAAAAGCTGAATGGAAAATTTCTTGTCTTCCCTTTAAATAAAGGGATCAATATGGTGAATTACAGTTGAATTACTACTTAGGTTCCCCCCGAAAAAAAAAAATTGAGATATACTTAAATTATAGTTGAATTACGATAACTTGGTTACTTAGATCAGTGTTTCTTTCTTTCCTTCATTCTTTTTAGGTTGTGGGTGGGGGCTTATGCTCTGTAGTTGTTTTTAGTCTGTATAAATTGTATGAAGCTCTCAAAACAGCGTGCACCTTCCCATTTCCCTCTCTCAACTGGCATTTTATTCCATCTCATATCATTAAATATTTGGGAGCAGATATCCTGCATTTTTCATTTCCTTATGTCTTGTTCTCAATTCAATTTTGCATCATTAATTTGTTTCACAATTTTTTAGTTTATCTTGTTATGTAAGTATCATATTTCTTTTTCTTCTTTCTGTTAGATAATCTTTGTATTTGATTGTTGTCATATTTATCAAGTAAATAGCAATTTCATAGAATAAGACCTTGTCTTCCTTAATGGAATATATCAAGTTGTAACGTTTTTTGTTTTGCAGATCTTGAGAAATCAAATTTCGTGAACTAATGCAACTTTCTTTTGTATAGGAACAAGCTAGATGAAATGGTTTTAGCTGATGTGTGTTAAACCGGGTGAAGCTTGGGAATATTACTCAAGAGATGCCTTAAGAAGAGTTTCTAAAATTTTGAAAGATGAATTTGACTTGGTAGGAATCAGAATTTGTCTTATTTGTTGGGATGTATATCATGTTTAACTTTTCTCTGCTTCCACTTCCAGGAAATGAATGCAGGATTTGAGAATGAATTTATTCTCTTAAAGGTAGGATATGTCATATTATCTATCTTGTGATCTGAATAGTGCAATTAACTGTGGCAATTAGTTAAAAAATTGAAAGAAAAAAAATTCAGGGAAGGGGAAGAGGAATGGGTACCATTTGACTCGAGTCCATACTGCTCCTCATCAGCATTTGATGCTGCTTCCCCCATACTTCGTGAAGTTGCTGGTGCTTTTCAATCCTTGGGCATTTCGGTAGAACGGGTTAAAAGAAATTTTTGAAATGATCAAATTGTAAATGAAGACATGATACGGCTTTTTATAGTTTTCATTGGATACATTTTTTGTCTTCTTAAAATTGCTTTCAAACTGTTTCACATAAATAAGACCAAAAATTACTTTGAACTTGAACCAAATGACAATCTGTAACCAGAAGTAATAGTGATTACCAGGACACTACCAAAACGATATATTCTTAAAATTGAATGTAAGCATTGAAAAGCCCAACAAACATGAATAATTTGGGTATAAGTATGTTCAACAAAGGTCATTTAAAAATCATTAGGGTTAATTTAGTGGTTGGGTGGAGAGGAATTGAGATAGTTAGAAACATAAAGACTTAAATTCAATCTTTATTACGACCATTTTTGTAATCTTTACTATCTTTATAAAAAAAAAAAAATTCGTTTAAAGGATCATCCCCACTAGCATGGTTGAAGACTTGCTTGGTACTTCTTTTCTAGTTGTCACCTATGGCCCACTTTTTGAGCTTATCTTTTCTGTGATATTGTAGTTACATGCTGAGGGTGGAAAGAATCAATTTGAGCTGGTTTTGAATTGTACCATTTGTACTAAAGCCTCAGACAACTTAGTTTGCACCCATGAAGTTGTTAGGGAAATCGCTAAGATTGGAGTATGCACGAAGACACGTTGTCATGTGTAGGTTTGTAGGAGGATGTAACCGTGGAAGAATTTAAAAGCGTTTCGGTATGTTCTGTAAATAGCATTTGGTTTCGTGGACGAGAAGAGCCAGTAAAACTGAGAGCTTTTAGTCTAAGCTTTATAAGACGAGATTTTGTTTCTTGATACTTCCTATGACGTGGTTTCATTGCTTATTTATTTAAAGCAAAGAAAAGAATCATAGAAATCTGGGAAATAATAATACCGAATAATTTAAAAAAAAAAGTGCAAATACTCTGTCTTTGATTAAAGATTAAATGTCAATCTACTTAGAATAACAATTTTCGATATATATTTTTTCACCTATGGTTAGTATCTATTTAAAAAGCTAAGAATTGAGTCCACAAAAACATCAATTAGTATTGAAATGCTCAAACGGTTATTATAAGCAAAATTAGCTTTTGACTCGATGAATTAAGATATAGTCGTGGGAGGAAAAACAATGTTGGAGCATTTCACGGCTACATTCAAAAATATATTTTCAAATTTATTAAGAGCAATAATGAATAACAGATTAAAAATAAAAGAAACCTAGTTTGACAATTTAACTTCTTATATATGCATGTAGAGTGAGAGAATAGATTATACTATTTTCTTTCTCAATCACCTTTGCACCAACCGGGAATATGCAAGTCGAAATAATCTCCTCCGAATTCATCAAACCCTCTTACCCAACAACAACACACCCAAAATCCGATAAGCTCTCAATCTTAGACTAGCTCATGCCTTCTGTATATATTCCAATGTTGCTTTTTTACTCCACTGATCAGAATACTTAAGCAATCATTGATATGATCACACAACAAAGAACAAAACAAATAAAGGAATCTTTATCACATGCGTTGACTATATTTTACCCATTTGTTGGAAGGGTTAAAGACAAGGTTACCATCAATTGCAACAATGAATGAGTTCATTATACCAAGGCCAAAGTAAGTTGTTGCCGTGTTGAATTTTTCAACCAACCTAATTTATCATCATTAATCTACAAACTTCTTCCAAAGCAAGCAATTATAGAAGTATTAGCCGAAGGGTACACAATTATAACAAAAATGACTTGTTTTGCATGCGGTGGCATGGTGATAAGTACCTTGATATCTCACATGGTAGTAGATGGAGCAGGTGCAAGTTTCTTATTAACAATTGGGGTTCTAACTCTCATATCGGTGAGTTTCAACATGCATTTGAATTTCCCAACTTACACACCACCCTCGAAATAATGCATGCCCATAAGGCAAGAATGCAATGCATTTATGTTGCCAATTTTTGAACAAGGGTAGGCTTGCTACGAGGAGGTTTTTGTTTAAAAAAGAAGCTAGGGCTCAAGGGTCAAGTTCAACTGTGCAAAAACCTGCTTGAGTGGAGGTGGTAGCATCCCTATATGCAAATGTATTTCAAAAGCTTCCAAGGCCAACTTTGGTAATTCATGCAGTAAACATGCATCGAATGACATCTCCTAATTTTCCTGATTTTCCAAACTCTGTATGGGAAACTTTCTTTGGTTGGCTATGACTTTAATAAGTGTAAATAATGAGTTAACTGAATTGGTTACTGAATTATGAGAAATAGTGACATTTATCAACTGTGACTTTGTGAAAAGCTTCAAAGATGAAAGAGAGCTTGTTAGCTTTTGTGAAAGTTTAAAACAGGTAATGGAAACAACTTCGAGGGTTGCAGTGAGCCCAAGTGGGGTTAATTATCATTGTTATTTGAGTTGGCGTAATTTTGGTCTATATGTGTTGATTTGGGATGAGGAAAGCCAATTTGGGTGTCTTGTTTCGGTGAGTCACTGGACAATTTGGTCATCCTCACCTTTGCGAAAAAGGTATTGAAGTTTGGATTTATTTAAATGAAGATGAGATGATCATGTTGCAGCAAGACAATGAGTTCCTTCTGTTTGCAACCGTGGTTCCAAATCCTCTACAACTAAAGGATTATGTATCTCATGCTTGATATATGGTCTTAATTGATGATGCTTCACTATTTTATACAACCAGTACCTTTCATTGCTATGTATTTATTAAAATATTGGTCAATATATACAAAATTAACTTGCTATATACTAAATCCATTTGTGTAGTTTATTATTATTATTAGGCCTAAATATATTTTAATCCCTCATATTTAGTGTAAATTTAGTATAAATTTATTTTTGGTTCCTCAAATTTAAAATTATTTTTTTAATTTATATAATTTTCAAAAAATTTATTTTAATTTCTTAGATCACTAATAACATATCTAAAAGTGACAAATTGAGACAATTATATAATATCAATTGGATTTAATGTTATATTTTCATTAATAAAGATACTAGTAAATAAATTTTGTATGACAATATTTGACACCCTAAAGAAAATTAAGTATAAGAACTATAACAATACTTTTTTAAAATTATAGGATTAAAAAAGTTAATTTTAAATTTAAGAGATTAAAAACATATTTAAGCCTTATTATTATTATGACTAGGAAAAATAATGTACTACGTGCCTTGCTATTATTTTAAAAAGTAATAATAATAATAATAATAATAATAATAATAATAATAATAATAATAATAATAATAATAATAATAAAGAGATGATAAAATGAGTGAATGTAATTTTGCAATAGTAGGTAGTTGTAAATATTAGTTAAAAGGTAAAAGAGTCTGAAAAATATGGACACCACAACAACATATTATCTTTATTATTAACTAGTGTAAAAGAAATATTTCCTACCTCTTAAAGAGGGAGAGTATGATGACATATTGCCTCCTAAAGGTCCTATTACAAGGACTAAGTTAAAAAAGATATTATATAAGATCTTAACAACCTCATGACATGCTCAATTATCTATTAACCTAGCTATGTTAGGCTCTTTGACCATTGTTGTAGCTCATCATATGTATTCTATGCCTCCTTATCCAAGAGGAATGTACACTCATGATAAAGGTAAAAGACATAAACTCCTTTTGAATTATAAGTTAATTTCATAGTCCATATATTCTTTGTGCATAATTTTCTTTATATATATTTTCCTTGTAAATATGTTCTTATTGTTGATATTGTATTTTTGGATCAAATAGTGAAAATTTTTATCTTCTTGTAATTTTCTTTTTAGGGATATAATTAATATTCTAGGAAGTGCAACTAGTAATTAGATATATGCTTAATGAGTTTGTTTGACCATAAGAGAGTGAGGAGCTTGTGAAGCTCAAAGTGCATGTCCACTAGGTGGTCGATTGCTCGCATAGTTCATACAAATTCCAACAAGTCACATATTCTACATATTAGTCACACTTTTAGCATCTTGCCATGTGACATGCTCCCATTGACTCTTCTAGATTTAGGATGTTGACCTCTAGTCACACCTTTTGTACCTTGCCATGTAGCATGTTTCCATTAACTCTTTTAGATCTAGGATAGTGACATTTTTAGGAGAGAAATTCAAATATGAAAATATAACTAGAGTTAGTTATCTTGAGAGTACAAGTTAACATAACCCTGATTACATGTAACCATAATTAGTTTAACTTGTACAACAAGCTAACAAACTCTATATACATATTTCCAACTTGTAATTCATCACTTTTGATGTGAATGAGAATTATACTCCTAAATTTCTTTCTTCAAAAGCTTAATTCTCTTCTTAAAGAACCTTGTTCTTAAGAACTTTTATTAAAAAATTTCTTCTTATAGCAAGTTCATCATTCTTGTTTGTCCTTCTCTTGAAGGTAAACACTCCTTTATCCTTTCCACCATTTTCATTTCATTTTGAAGAAGTTTGAGTCCATGGATAAAGATTGGACGAGCAATGAAGCTAGTTGAGTGGATTCAAATTCCACCTTCTCCACTAGATTCATAAATTGTGCAAGGGACTAAGGGTAGTGTAAGTGTTTTAAAAAATTTAAAACAAATACATGTAGGAGTATAGGACAAGTAAGTATATACCAATCCTCATCCCAATCCCAGATTTAATAGTTCAGGTATTATTCGTACTCATATTTGTACTCAATCAAATTAGATATTTCTTGTTAAAGTTAAAACAAATTTAGGTATTAACACCACAAGATGCATAATAATATAATGAAAGAAATTCATTAATTTTATAATTAGGAATTGCTTTTAAAATTTAGATTAGAAAATCTAATTATATTATTAAACATTTTAATAATTTATTTTCTTATTTTCACATACCACACCGCCCTATATTAAAATCCCATACATTTTAATCTATCTTACTTTTCTAAACCCAATCTTAAGGTATTATAAGAAAACATAAAAAAAAATAACTTCATGGGCACATAAATTTTCTAAAAACAACTTGTTTTAAACTTGGAGCAGCACTGGAAAAGAGAAACAGGAATAAAACAGCTTACAAGAACATTGTAGTCAGTCACTTTGTTGCCCAAGTAACCATTTTGAAAGAAACGAATCGTGAAGCGTGTCACATACACCCTCGCTCAATCCTTCACCCCCTTCTATTCAATTCTAGGGTTTTATCGCAAACTCAAATCCTCAATCATGGGTACCAAGGTCAGGAGACCCTCCCATGCTGGTTCCTGGTACACTGACAATCGTAAGTCCCTCAAATTAACATTCACGATTCATCAATTTCGAGTTGAATTTCGCTGATCAGGTTCAAAAGATCGGATTTTTAATCTTTCAATCGTTGTTTCTCTCGATTTACGCAATTGGGTCGAAACTTTTTAATAAAATAAACGGTTTGATTGTTTGGAACTTCTTCCAGAACAGTGAAAGTTCTCAACTTTCTATTCTTTTGGTTTACTCATCAGTTATTATCACTCTTCTACTTCTCAGTCAGAGAGGAAAGTCCCACTTTAATAATTTTCTTTTAATTCTCATTATTTAATTTTCATTTTCAGCTAAGCAGCTTTCAGAGGAACTTGAAGGGTGGTTGCAGTCGTGTGGTTTGACCAAGTCTTCTGATGTGCGGGGAGTGATAGCACCGTAAGTGAAAGGGCCTTTTTCCTTAAATGATTTTGGTTTTTGAGTTTTGATGATTTTGGTTTTTGAGATAAAGTAACAATTCTAATGTGTGCTTGTGCTGCAACTGGAATGTTACGATGTTAGACATGCAGGTTATTCCTATTCAGGAAGAGCCGCAGCTTATGCCTTTGGAAACATTG